ACCATACTTTGAGAACTGCTACTCTAAACTCTGCAGTGGATAGAGCAAACAAGTTAACATTCAGTTGGGGACTTTTGTTGAGTACTTGATACATTGGGATGCCATGCCCTGGCCAAGAATAGGTCCTAATCCACAGGCAGTGAGGTGGACCCCCCTCTCAACGTCCTCTCTGGTATGCCAATGAAGCTAAGGCCAAGACAGAAGCTAGGGGAACTTCCACACTCTCACCATCTCACTCCACCTCACCATAGCTACTTTTATGAGGCTTCTCTACCAGCAGTTAAATCCCACTGCTCCTCTTTTATTTACTTCTGCCTAGGCCAGAAGGTCTGCTCCTCTAAAACTTTTAGTAGAACAGAAGTATTCCCACTAGAAGGCACATGGTCCAGAGGTGTACTGGAGCCAGCTCTCACCGGCTGGAGAGAAGTGATTGTTGAATATTTATGTGAGAACATTTACACCTTGGAAATCAACCAGAGCTACAAATCGGGGTTATATATATTGTTTTGTTAATTGTCAGGATTTGAGAAAGTAATGAAGAGGTTGTTAGTAGTGCATGTTAAACTTAAAAGTAGGTTGTGCCTTTTCAGAGAGTCCATTATTAAATAATTGTCTACATCAAGATGTCAGTCTATCTCCCTATCTTTAGGCAGAATCACCCAAACAGTTATAGCATAAACCTTACCATAAACCTAGCATAAACCTTACCAGAAGATTCTATCACTTAGTAAGATAGTATCTCAGGAAGTTCCTTGGGCTCTTCAGAAGGACGTGGTGTAAATCCTGCATGTTAATATGTTGTTATTGTCTTAACTTGAAGCTTTCTTCATACAATTTGAGGCCAGTTCTCATGTTTTCTCTTCAGTGGTGAGAGAGAATACCCAGTCACTACCTTTGATAAACTGGAAGATTATTATTAGGTCCTCAGCTCTTCACTTCTCAAGACAAAATAATCAAAATTAGCTTTGCCAGTTTATGGCTTCCTGAAATGTGCCATTTTCTAGCCTTTCCATTGAACTTTATGTGGACCAAGTGCTTTCTGGTATGAGTTAGTTATCCCTCCCAGGATCCCTGAGAAGAATTGGTCTTAGCCATGAGGAAAATGAAAGTTTCAGGGGTTTTACCCAGTGAATCAGTGGCAGAGATGAGAATAGAATACACAAGCCCTGTGTCTGTCTCACGCTCTGCCTACTACAGGATATTACAGCTTTAAAACCTAAAGGGCTCTTGTTGAAAGCTACTTGTGGCATCTGGGATCTGATGCAGCTATAATGCCTCGAAGAGACAAGCAGGGGAGCTCTTTATAAATCTATAATGGGGACCATAAAAAGGGAGAACACAGACAAAGAGGCACAGGGGAGGAAAAGAGAGAGAGAGACATAAAAAGAAAAGTCGGAAAGCTGAGTGTGAGGCAGAAAGGAGGTATTTGATAAAAGGGAAATGTACTTATGGAAAAATCATGAGGCCAACCTGCATCCATGTACTACAACATGGGAATAAACAATTTCTTCTATCAGGTGGAATCAGCCCTGAAACAAACCCTTACTTAGGATTTTAAGTGCTGTCTGCCCCTCCCAGGACTTTGGCATCTTTCCTACAATGCCTTGTTAACATATTTAGACCTTTTATCATTCCAAACTGTAATATAGAGAGCACGTTTCACTTGGTATTTTTCATTTTGCATCACATTTCTCAGAATTGGCAATTTCACATCGGTATAATCCTCCTAGTTCTCTTGAGAATCATATGTATTAATAGGACAACACTAGGCAAATGAAGGCATAAAGAATACTTTTTTTTCCTCACTTTGGCTTCTGATTTGGGTGGGCCCTCACATTTTAAATATGGTCCATCAGGGCAGAAATGTTTCTTTGGTTCATTTCTTATGTTTGGACTTTCTGGACCTGTGAATTCAAATTGCCAGCTAGGAAACTCTCTCTACCAATGTAACTCAGAATCTTCAATGCGATTTCAAGTCTTGGGCATTTGCCTAGGGGGAATGAGAGTTGGCACAATTGCTCAGAGTCATATAGCCACAGTGCTTGTCAGAGGGGGAAACTGAAGCCAGGTTTTCCTGAGCTGCCGATCAGTTCTCTGTCCATGCTGCCTGGAGGAGTGGCCTTCTCTGTTCTTTGTCATTATGGAATAAGGACTGAACCTGTGATTTCATAGCTATAGGGAGCTCTCTTCTACCAAAGCAGGCTGGCATCTTCTCTGCAACTGATAATCTTAGAGAGTTCACTGAGAGGTGAAGTGATTTGCTCAGGGTCACACAGCCAGATAGATCAGAGAGGGCACTTGGCACCTGGTCCAAGGTCGGCTCTTTCTGCTGTGCCCTCTGACCTGCCTCTCTGTTATTAATCAGTGAGAATCATGAGCTCCACAAGAAGAGCAAACCTGCTTATGGAATCCCTAAGGTGTTCCACAGGAGACGTGATTTTCCTTTGACAGAGACTCCTTGTGGAGCAGGAAGAGTTCTTAGAGCTCAGTTAGTCCAATCCTTCATTTCACTGATAAGGAAACCAAGGCCTACACAGGAGAAGTGACTAGGCCAAGGTCATCTAGCTAGATAGTAGAAGAGCCAGGATTAGAACTCACATCTCCTGATGCCCAGTTCAGTGGACTTTTATTCTATTGTGCTGCCTCTATTTAGTATCATCCCTGAAGGCTTTAGAAGTTTCATATCATTGAGGTAGAAATGGGGAGGACCTAGGCCTGGACTGTTTCATTTTTGTCTTTATATTCCCAGCACTCAGCACAGTATCTGGTATTTAGTAGTAGGTATTTAATAGAACATTTGATAAATATTTCCTTTCCTCCCTCCCTCTCTTCTTTCATTCCTCCCCTCTTTCCCTCTCTCCCTTTCTTCCCTTTTTGCTTTCCTCTCCTCCTTCCTTCCCTTCTTTCTTTCTCCCCTTCTTCCTTCCTTTCATCTTTTCTTTCCTTACCTCATTCTTTTCCTTCCTCTCTTCCATCTTTCCTTCCTTCTTTCCTTCCCTCTCCCTTCCTCCCTCCCTTCCTTCCACCTCTCCCTTCCTGTCTCCCTTCCTTTCTCTATCCTTCCCCCTCTTCTTCTTCCTCTCTCCCTTCCTTCCTTCCTTCCTTCCTTTATACTTCCCTTCCTCTTCATTCCTTTCTCCTCTCCTCCCTCCCTCTTTCCCTTCCTTACTTCTTCCTTCCCTTCTTCTTCCTCTCTTTCTTCCTTCTTTCTTTCCATCCTTCCTTCTTTCCTTATTTCTTTCTTTCCATCCTTCCTTCCTTCCTCTGTGTTTGAGAGGGGATTGGTAACTAAAGAGAATTTAAAGCCATATACATACCTTCATCTATTCAAAGAAATTTGCTTTAAACTCTCCTCCTCTAAGCATGGAACTGGGCTCAATGAGTTTGGTATCTTGGTATAAAATGTGTTTTGGTGTCAAGAGAAATGAACATTTTTTTCCCCGATACAGTGTCTGGTACATAGATGTGTGGTGATTGGTTTCCCAGCTGCAATTTAGAGGGTTTTACCCAATCAGACACAACTAGGGACATGAGCTTGGCAGATCAGATACTGTTACTAGGAGAAAGTTGATCACTTCTTTGGAGGGAGCAAAGAGAATAGAATGAGTTTTCTTGGGTCATTGTGAGCTTTATTTTCTCTTGTAAAGACTTGGTCCTGCCCTTGCCTGGAATTAGTGGTATTGTAATAAGGATAGCCAGGTGGCTCAGTGGGTAGAATGCTGGGCCTGGAGTCTGGAAGACCCTGAGTTCAAATGTGATCTCAGACGCTTACTAGCTGTGTGATCCTGGACAAATCACTTGACCCTATTTGCCTCAGTTTCCTCATCTGTAAAATGCGCTAAAGAAGGAAATGGTATTCCACTCCAGTATCTACCAAGAAAACCCCAAAATGGGATCATGAAGACTCAGACACAACTGAAAAATAGCTGGATGACAGTAAGGATAGGGATAAAGATAAGAACTAGAGCTGTGATTTTACAGGCAGAAGGAATTAGGATGAAAAACCAGTGCTGGTCAGTGCAGATCTCTTCAACTTAGAGTTGCCTGGGGCAGCTATGTGGTTCAGTGGATACAGCATCAGTCCTGAAGTCAGGAGAACCTGAGTTCAAATCCGGCCTCAGACCAAATACTTGTCACTTACTAGCTATGTGACCCTAGGCAAGTCACTTAACCCCAATTGCCTTAAAAAAAAACAACTTAGAGTTGCCTGGAGCACTGAAGGGTTAAGTGATTTGCCAGGGATCACACAACCAGAGTGTTGTGTATAAAAAGAGATAAGTAATATATCTCTATAATATAACTAAACATGTTATGATCAGTAGAACTGCAAAAGACTTCAAATGCCGTCTAGGCCAACCCTATCATCTTGTAGATGAGGAAACTGAGGCAAAGAAAAAGGAAGTGACTTGCCTGTGGTCACACAGGTAATTAATAGCAATAACAATAGCAGCTAACACTTATATAGTGCTATAAGGTTTGCAAAGTACTTTACAAATATTATCTCATTTAATCCTCACAGTATCCCAGAAGGCAGGTACAATTATCCCCATTTTACAGATGAAAACCTGAGGAAGACATAGGTTAAGTGACTTTCCCAGGGTCACACAGCTAGTAAGTATCTGAGGCTGGATTTGCATTCAGTTCTTCTTGGCTCCAACTCTACCATTCTATCCACCATACCACCTAGCAGCCTCTAAGTAGATCCCATTATTATTTCTGTTTTAAAGGTAAGAACTTAAGAAGAGGATATATGACTTGCTCAGGGTCACATAGTTAGTAAGTATCCAAATCAGAATTCAAACTCATTTCTTCCTGATTCTGGAGTCTGGCACTCTATCTACCACACCACCTACCTGCCCCAGGTGGTACATGTCTGGCCCAGTGTTGTGGGTGAATCATAGTGTATATGGTCTCAGGAAAGGGGAAAGAAAGGGAAACTGAAAAGCTTGAGGTGTATGACTTCCAAGTGCCTTAATAACCTGGCTTGACTTCCTCCTTAGGTTGCCTTAGAAATGCTGTTTACTGGGGAACCCATCACAGCCCAGGAAGCGTTGCGTCATGGGCTGCTCAGCAGAGTGGTTCCAGAAGAGAAGCTGGAGGAGGAGACCATGAAAATAGCCCAAAAGATCTGTTCATCGAGCCGGTCTGTGGTGGCAATGGGCAAGGCTACCTTCTACAGGCAGCTGACCCAGGACCTGAAGGGCGCCTACCATCTCGCCTCCCATGCCATGCTGGACAATTTGGCCACTCAGGATGGGCAGGAGGGAATCACAGCCTTTATCCAGAAACGCAAGCCTGTATGGTCACACTCGTAGGCTACAGCCACTGGAAGTGTCAGGAAGAAATGAAGCCAGCCCGGGAAAGCCCATGATACCTTTCGGGGGGAAATTCTTTTCTTATTATCTGCAATGTCTTATATGTAAGCTTATGGGTTTGGTTTCAGGGCTGGAGCTTTAGAAGTTTTACCATGGAGTTCTCTTTCCTTCCTCCCATGCCCACACTGTCCTCTAGTCCTTAAACACAATGATTCATTGTCCTATGAGACTGAGGACATTGTTGAAAAAGTCGAAATTTGAAATTTCCAAGTTGAAATTAGCCTGACTGCAATTTATCTCATTTTAAAAATTCCAGTTCCATGAGATATGACATACAAATAGATAATAAAAATGAAACATTATTCAGAATAGTAAAATGTGATGAAAGGTTATTGAATACCTGCTCTGTTCTTTTACAAAGTATGGACTTTGACATAGTTCAGAGGAACTTGGATGAGCAAAGAAAGGCACCAATCTAAGGAAGGGATGCAAGTAAACTTTTTTTTTAAAGAAAGATGCACGATCCTGTTGTAGTCATATAAGGCTGAATGAGTTGTCTCTAGTCATCTCCAGATGTAAAGTAAAATGAAACAGGTTGATAATGTCCCCAAGATAAGATGCTAGAGGTGCTGGAAATCTCCACACTGAACACTTCTTTCATTCCACTGAGAACAAACTCTTCTCCCAGTATATCTCCCCCAGGTTTCAGATTTAAAACGCAACAGTCATTCGAGCTTTAAAATCCAATAAAAACCAATTTTACTAATAAAAACATTAAAAGAACAAAGGTGGGTTTTTTTGGAGGAAAAAAAGGATTTGAAATGTTCCCTTCCTAAAATCAGTATGCCAAAAGGCCAGGAAAGGATGCCCCCAGAGGGCAGGGAGCAAGGGATGTAGTTTCTAACACAAATTCCCCCAGTCTAAGTTTCAAATAGCAGAAACACCCTTTCTCCCCTTTTAAAGGGCCAGTCTTGTTCACCTGGGGTCACAAATGCCTCAGACACTTACTAGCTGTGTGACCCTGGGCAAGTCACTTCACCCTGTTGGCCTCAGTTTCCTCATCTGTAACGTGACCTGGAGAAGGAAGTGGCAAACCACTCCATTATCTTTGCCAAGAAAACCCCAAATGGGGTCACGAAGAATCAGATACAAGTGAAAAATGACTGAACAACAGCACCACCTATAGAAAAACAGGAAGATGGAAGGGTGAGTGTGGAGCAGAAAGGGAAGTAGAGGGGCAGCAAGGTGGCACAGTGAATAGAGCACCGGCCCTGAAGTTAGGAGGAGCTGAGTTCTAAATCCATCCTCAGACCAAACACATGAACTTGCTAGCTGTGTGACCCTGGGCAAGTTACTTAACCCCAATTGCCTTAGGAAAAAAAGAAGGGAAGTAGAAATAGTAAGGCTGGGAATATGAATGCACCCCTCTGTGGCTGCCAGCACTGAACCAGCACAACTCCTACCACCAGTGGATTAGTGAGGCTTGGGTGATTAGTCTTCCTGTTGCCTGTGTGGAATTCCCTTCACACAAGTTACATCTCATAAATAAATTCAAAAATTCCCAGCTCACAGTTTTGTGATTTTTTTTTCAAATCATTTCTGTAGAGGACACATAGCTAGAGGGGAAGAAAATGAATAAAGTGAAGGTTTTTCCTGATTCCTCCAGCAAAGTGTGTAAATGTATCTGTGTAAGAGCCTAGATGGATAGAGTTCCCAGAAGTCATTGCTCCATTGCAGTGACATCAAGCCCAGAGGTTTAAAAAAGCATATTATCTTTATATCTGGTGTCATATCTGAGAATATCAAAGTGCCCTAGTAGAGCCACTGAGGCACCAGAAAGCCTTGGAGTTGATTGGAGAGGGAAAAAAAGTTCAAATGTATTTGCTGTTGAGCATCTTATGATTAAACTGAGAGTGTTTGGAATTCAATCTGAAATCCCCAGCTGAATGAACTGAATGATTTTTTTTCCATTCTGACTATATGATAATTGTACCTTTAAGATGATCCTTGTCTTGGGGACAAGTTCATGAGTCTCTGTTGGCCTTTTCATACGCCATTGATCTCTTCAAAGTCTCTGAACCCCTACAAGATGTGGAATGCTTTAATTATACCTGAAAGGGATTCACTCTTATATCATATTTTCTCAGTTTTTGACCCTTAGGACTTTAAACTTTGCTGGAGTCTTACTTATGTTTTTTTCCTATGAAAATTTTTTTAATATAAATTTATTTATTTGTAGTTTTCAACATTCATTTCCACAAGTTTTTGAGTTCCAAATTTTCACCCCATCTCACCCTCCCCCCACCCCAAGATGGCATGTATTCTGAATACCCCTTCCCCTAGTCTGCCTTCTCTTCTATCTCTCCCCCCCCCTTCTCTTATCCTCTTCCCCTTCTGTTTTCCTGTAGGGCAGGATAGACTTCTGATTTCTTATTTCCCGATGGCATGTGAAAACTTTTTTTTAAACATGTTTTTAAAACTTTAGGTTTCAAATTTTCTCTTCCTCCCTCCCCACCCACCCTCATTGAAAAGGCAAGCAACTCAATATAGGGTACATGTGCAGTTATGCAAAACACTTCCATAGACATGTTGTGAAAAACTAACTCTATTTCCCTTAATCCTATTCTGCCCTCCCATTTATTCTATTCTTTCTTTTGACCCTGTCCTCCTCAGAAGTATTTACTTCTGATTACCCTTTTCCCAATCTGCCCTCCTCTCTATCATCCCCTGCTCTCTTGTCCCCTTCTCCCCCTATTTTCTTAGGGTAAGACAATTCCATACCCAATTGAATGTGTATGTTATTCCTCCTTAAGCCAAATCCTATGAGAATAAGATTCCTCATTCCCTCTCACCTTCCCCTGCTTCCCTCCACTGTAAGAGACTTTTCTTTTCTGTTTTTTTTTGTGAGATAATTTACCCCATTCTACCTCTCCCTTTCTTCTTCTCTGAGTATAATCCTCCTCATCCCTTAATTTTATTCTCCAGATATGACCCCTTAATCTTCAACTCACCCTGTGCCTCTATCTATCTATCTATCTATCTATCTATCTATCTATCTATCTATCTATATACATACATATAATTTTTTTCCTCCAACTACCCTAATACTGACAAAGGTCTCATGAGTTATAAATATCATCTTTCCATGCAGGAATGTAAACAGTTCAATCTTAATAAGTCTCTTATGATTTCTCTTTCCTGTTTACCTCTTCATGTTCCACTTGAGTCCTGTATTTGAAAGTCAAATTTTCTATTCAGCTCTGGTCTTTTCATCAGAATGCTTGAAAGTCCTCTATTTCACTGAATGACCATTTTTTCCCCTGAAGGATTATACTCAGTTTTGCTGGGTAGGTGATTCTTGGTTGTAATCCTATCTCCTTTGCCCTCCGGAATATTATATTCCATGCCCTGGGTCCTTTAATGTAGAAGCTGCTAAATCTTGTGTTATCCTGATTGTGTTTCCACAGTACTTGAATTGTTTCCTTCTGGCAGCTTGTAATATTTTCTCCTTGACCTGGGAACTCTGGAATTTGGCTACAATATTCCTAGGAGTTTTCCTTTGGGGATCTCTTTCAGGAGGAGATCTGTGGATTCTTTCAATTTCTATTTTGCCCTCTGGTTCTACTATATCAGGGCAGTTTTCCTTGATAATTTCTTGAAAGATGATGTCTAGGCTCTTTTTTTGATCATGGCTTTCAGATAGTCCAATAATTTTTAAATTCTCTCTCCTGGATCTATTTTCCAGGTCAGTTGTTTTTCCAATGAGATATTTCACATTGTTTTCTAATTTTTCATTCTTTTGGATTTGTTTTACAGTGTCTTGATTTCTCATAAAGTCACTATCTTCCAATTGCTCTATTCTAATTTTTAAGGAAGTATTTTCTTCAGTAGTCTTTTGGACTTCCTTTTCCATTTGGCCAATTTTTCTTTTTAGGGCATTTTCTCCTCTTTGGCTTTTTGGACCTCTTTTGCCATTTGGGTTAGGCTATTTTTTAAGGTGTTATTTTCTCAGTATTTTTTTGGGTCTCCTTTAGCAAGCTGTTGACTTGTTTTTCATGATTTTCTTGCATCACTCTCATTTCTCTTCCAGTTTTTCCTCTACTTCTTACTTGCTTCTCAAAATCCCTTTTGAGCTCTTCCAAGGCCTGGGACTGATTCATATTTTTCTTGGAGCCTTTGGATGTAGGAGCTTTGACTTTGTTATCTTCTTCTGGTTGTGTATTTTGATCTTCTTTGTCCCCAAAGTAAGATAATATAGTCTGACTCTTTTTTCACTGCTTGCTCATGATCCCGGGAAATTACTTGAGTTTTAACTCTTTGTTAAGGTACGAATCTGCTTCCAATGTGGAGAATGTACTGTCCCAAGCTTCAAGGGTTTGTACAGCTGTTTTCAGAGATACTTGTAGGGACCTGTAAATTTTCAATTCTTCCAAGGTGGTATGATAAGGGGCGGGGTGTTTACTCCTTTCCTGGCCTGTGACCACAAGTATTCCTTTCTGTCCTGTAACTGTGAGGAGGGGTTCCTTCAAAGCCACTACAAGCTCCACCAGCCAGCGCTCCTCCTCACCCCAGCACGCTGCCCAGATCCACACACGCAAAGCAAGAGATTCCTGCCTCAGCACTGGCAAAGAGATCCCTGCAATCCCTCTGTGATCAGCCACTGGATTCCCCCTCAGTCTGTGGGCTGGAAGTTCGGGAAGCAGCTGCCCCCAGGGCCAGACTTGGGGAATGAAGCTGAGACCCGCCTTCCTTTCTCAGCCGACAGAAACAGACTTTTCCCACTGACCTTCTAAGTTGTCTTTGGCATTAGTGGGTTGAGGAGTCTGGAAACCTCCACAGCTGCCTGTGATTCAGTCCTCTGAGGCCTGCTCCAGGTTCACTGGGGCCTGCACTCCCAAGCTGTGCTGCACTCCCAGGCTGTGCTGCGCTCCCAGCCTGGCGCCATACACCTTTCTGATCAATCATCTAGGTTGTCTTGGGCTGGAAATTTGTTTCACTCTTTTTGTGGGTTCTGCTGCTTCAAAATTTGTTTAGAGCCATTTTTTATGAGTATTTGGAGGGGTTTGTGGGAGAGCTTAAGCAAATCACTGCTTTCATTCCGCCATCTTGGCTCAGCCCTGCTGGAGTCTTACTTAAAAGAGCACATCCTTCCACAG